TTGCCCATCCCTCAGAGCTGTCAGCCCACTCTCTACCTATGAATCTATCTATATTTTGCTTGTTAGTTCAGTTTGTTCATTAGATTCCACATATGAATGAAATCATATGTTTCTTGTCTTTCTCTGACTGGCTTATTTCCCTTAGCATAATATGTAAAGTATTTTTCAACTACAAATGTTCAGTTGCATATCTGACATTACTCTCAGATACGGAACATTTGTGGAGAGTTGCAAGTATGAAGGAATTATCTTATGTATTGCAGGAGGATTCTTTCTAGTTTATATTTACAAAATTTAATAGTGCTTCCCAAATTGTGACAATGACAAAACCATACCAAGAAATTTCTAAAATGCTCCTTAAGTTCATCAACTCTGTTAGGAACCACTGATAAAATTACAGCACTAATCATAATAACTGATTCATAGTAAACATATCATAAATATTGGCTACTCTTATTATTTTTATTATTATTGAGAATAGAGAGAGTAAAGTTAATAAGAGAATGCCAAATATGTTGTGAAATTAAGCTTTTTTAAAAAAGTGCGTCCATGTGAGAATTTATGATAATACAATGAAAACATTAAATTACAAATCTGAGTCTGAATAATTCAATAGCAAAAAAAACCCCCCAAAAAAAAACACAAAAAAAATACGCATGGAGTTAGCTGAAGTAGTTGAAATGCCATGTTCTCTGGGTGACTAGACATTTGACTTTTCTATGTGTATTTGGATTAAGACTACATTGGATAGCTTCTGGGATTAAGAAAAATAATTCTAGAAATAGTTCTGACCCTAGTACCTGATTTCTGATTAGACTCAGGAATGATACTGTTAAGAAATTTAACTGAAATTGCATGTATGCATTAAGTGTAAGGTCTCTTTTAGTCTAAGTCTAACATGGATTACAAATAATTACATCACAAATCTTCTAGGCACACAACAATGCCTATTTTGAGTTGCAGTTTACTGACAAATTCTTGTTTTGATTTTATTTTCTCTGTATATAAGCCAAAAAATTCAAGATGCAATAAAAAATTAGCTCTCAGGTGTAAATGACAATGTTTTTCTCTATTATTATAACCTGTATTTCCTATTGAAAGCATTAGGGCTTTTTAGAATCACCCTCATAAAGCAGTTTAATATTTACCAGTTTTATACCTACCTCTCATGATTAAGGTGAAATCATTCAGCAACTATGTTCTAGGATAAGGCAGTTGGAAATATTTACCATAGGTATATCACAAAGACTTCCGATATGATAATAAATGTTAGGATTGCTTAAAAAGGGGGTGGGGGAGCCTTTTCAGCAGGAGGAGATGCTCTTGGCAGACAAAAACACATATCCTATATCTGGACTAATAGCCAGCCATATGCACTATACTGCCAAACCGATCATTAAAAAATGAACTGCTTTCTAACTCCTTACACCAAACAGCTGTTGCCCTTAAAACTCCTCCTCAGCCCCCACCTTAGGTTCTGCCTTTGTGGTTCACTCAGATTAGGTTCTGATTGGTCAGTTTCTATGCCAGTCAGAGTCAAAAGCTTCGCCTCCTAGGCAGCCATTAGCTCCACACTTCACCCAGATTTGGTTCTGATTGGTCAGTTTCTATGCCAGTCAGAGTCTCTGGGCCTATTTCGGGGCTGATGAGAGAAGCGGGGCTGATCAACAAGGCTGCTGGTGAGGCCCAGAGAGAAAGAGATGCAAGAGCTGATCAACAGCTGCCACTGAGGTTGCAGATTAGACCCTGCTTCTCTCCAGGCCTCTCTCCGGGCCTGATCCACAGCCCCCTCAGCAGTCAGTGCTGGGTAGCCGCGCCCACAGCAGCAGCAATCAGTGCTGACTTCCACCGCAGCGACCCAGCACTGACTGCCATGGGGGCTGCGGATCAGACACTGCTTCTCTCTCTGGGCCTCCCTCCGGGCCTGTCCCACAGCCCCCTCGGCAGTCAGTGCTGGGTCACTGCGGCGCCCACAGCACTTACTGCAGAACTAACTTCCAGTGTTCGGTTGAGCCTTTGGTCGTTTTGGATGTTATAGACCCTGGCTCTTTATATATATAGATTGTTGAAAGTATTACATTTGTCCCCTTTCCTCCATTGTTCTCTCCCAGCCTGCCTCTGCCTCCCAGCCCCAGCCTTCATCCCACCCCCCGCCCTATTGTCTGTGTCCATTGGTTATGCTTATATGCATACAAGTTGATGTCTTACCCCCTACCCCCACCCACCCTCCCCTGCCTTCCCTCTGTCTGTTCTATGATTCTATGTCTCTAGATCTATCTTTTGTTCATCAGTTTATGTTGTTCATTATATCTTTAAGTAGATGTTAAAAGGGCAGGTTTCAGTTTTTTAGAATGTTTTTATTGATTTTTAGAGAGAGAGTAAGGGAGATGGATAGGGAGATAGAAACCTCTATGAGAGAGAAGCAACATCAATTGGCTGCCTCCTGCATACCCCCTACTGAGGATCAAGCCCACAACCTGGGCATGTGCCCTGAGCAGGAATGGAACCAGTGACCTCTTGGTTCATGGGTCAGTGCTCAACTACTGAGCCACACAGACAGGGCACAGTTTTCATTTTTTAGAAAAGATAAAGAAAAAGAAATTTAACTCTCAAATAAAATTCCAAAATTTCCCATTATATACTTTGAAGTATCAAATGCAAATCTCAATTTGTTCCTCAGGGGTTGAAGAAAAGTAGGTAGCAGGTAGCAGGCTTAAGACCTGCAACAGTGATTGAGTCTCTGCTCCTTTTGTGTGGTCAGACTAAGTCTGTCAGGATACTTGGCACAGTGAGCTCTGTCTGTGTAGATAATTTCCCACTTATTTCAAAGGGATTAAGAAGTACAAGTAGGCAGTTACACAATAATCTACTCCTGAAAAGTAGATATTATTATCCACCTTTTAAAGAAAATAATATCAGATAATTGATATAATAGACAATATCTAGAAATATGAAATTTTAGAAAATATCTGGGGGGAAATACGATCAATCAGGTGATTTTGAGGCAAGTATTGCATGGATAATATTTTATTAGCATTGCTCTAAACCAGCAATTTTCAACCAGTGTGCTGCAAGAATTTTTAAAATATGCAATACCTGACTATTTGGTCAGGGAACTGACCTCTTTTCCTTAAGAATGTCAAATAAAAAATGACAAGAGCCAACACAACAATAGCCTTCTGGTGTGAATACCCTGTCTTGAACCATAAAAACAGGTCATAAAATAGAGATGTCTCTTATTGGTCACATCGCAGAAGAAGGTTGTGTCTGATTTGTTGATATTTGGTACCTGATATCCCAATGTATAAGTAGAGACACCTGATTTTTTTTAAAAAATCACTTTGGATCAAAAAGTGTAGGTAATTATTTTTATTTTTTGCAAATCAATCGCAATCATACCTATTTTTGTCAGGTTAGCAAAAAATATGTTTTTGTCATTTGTTTATGTGTGTCATGAGATGAAAAATGTTAAAAAAATCACTGCTCTAAACCATACTGACTCATAATTTTACTGTTGAAAAATGTGGGACTATGGAAAGCTAAATCAGTTTCATGCTGCAAAGAGAACTTTTTGCCTATATAATCAGTATATGTTTACTCTCACCAAAATACAAGTAAATAATCACCATTATGACCCTAATGCCTTCCCAGGGACTTTTTAATTATTAGTTCCTGAGGCTAGTCCTCTGGTGGCTGCAAAACCCTCAAAGGATGTCATCTGCCCAATCAGCGAGAATCCTCAACAAAGAAAGGTACTCTCATTTATGACCATTGACAGGCATTCACATGAGGCATTCATTTTGTATAACCCACTTGAAAGACCTGTAGGCACCGGAGGAAGAAGTGGGAGGCAACTGATTTGTCTTATAGCCTTCTGAGAGAAGAGTGCAACCCAGGCAAAAAGACCAGCCAGATGAAGAGGTAGCAAGACTACATGAGACAAGCAGCATTGCTAGTGGAAAGAAAAACAGGAGAGGAATTAAAAATATTTAACACTCTATGCAGCACAGATAATGAGCAACAAATGGACTCCAGCCATAGGGCTGAAGCAGGCTCAGACACTTCTCTTGCAGTGCCAGCCTTGAATATTTTAGTGGCTACATTGTAAGGCCATTTACAGGGTATCCGACACAGGGTGGGTAAAAGAAAGGCAGCCATTCAGTAACTTTTTATGGACTTACTAGTATAAACAGCTGAACAAAATATTTTGGAGATGTAAAGATATTTAAGACATAGAATAATGATGAATGAAATTAGTCATACTGAGATAGTGCACATTAGGACACCACTATGGAGATGTGTCTGGGAAATATGGCTGGATGCTTAGTTTATACTTTATAATGTGATAGTAACATAGAGATCAAGTAAAACTAAAAACCATGCTCTCTTTAAATGGTCCATATATTCAAATTTGTCTTTGCTTATCAATCTGATCATATTCACATAAATTGACTTATACTAGGTTTAATAAGTGTTTTTAACCTAAAATAGCAATGTGCTTTATATTATGATGGGCTTATATATAAATAATTTTCTAATGAAGTTAAATAAATGGGCCTCATAGGTGAAAATATGCTTTGGAGACATAATCAGAGCAATAACTTTCTAATTCTCAATTGAAAATCAGCCTCTTTTGTTCTTATTAATTTATATGTTTAATAAAATTATAAGCCATTTAAATAAGCACATGTTATATTGCAGCACTTATTAAGTGGTATTTATATAGTGGAGCAGAAATGAGATATATGACCTGTTCTTTCTTTTCCCTAAGATAGAGTCTACTCTTTCTTTTAACTTTTGGATTTTGAGTTTAAAGCAAATATTACTGGCTAATTCTACATCTCTTCACCACATACTTGAAACAGGTGCAAAATTTCCTACCACTGATTGTCAGAATAGGTATCACGTATTTTAGGTATAAACAGAGAATATATGTTTTGCTCAATCTACTGAAAATAATTTCACAACACTTAGGCTAGAGCAGGTTTAGCGACTCTGAAATGTTATTTCCAAACAGAACCAATGTCCACCCAGCTACTTTCCTCCTCCTTGGAATCCCAGGGCTGGAGGCTGCTCATGTCTGGATCTCCATCCCTTTTTGCCTGGTCTATCTCCTGGCTGTAATGGGAAATTGTGTCCTTGTATTCATCATCAAGACACAGCCCAGTCTTCATGAACCCATGTATCTCTTCCTCTGCATGCTCTCTGTGAATGACCTGATGCTTTGCACCACTGTGGTTCCCAAGATTCTCAGTATCTTCTGGTTCGATGACAGAGAAATCAACTTTAAAGCTTGCCTCATCCAGATATTTTTCATCCACTCTTTGTCCACCATGGAGTCGGGATTCCTGTTGGCTATGGCCTTTGACCGATATGTGGCCATCTGCAACCCTCTGAGGCATTCCACCATCCTGACACATGGAGTGATCATGGCTTTGAGTCTGGCTATTGTCCTACGTGGCGTTATCCTGCTGACTCCACATCCTTTCTTACTGATGAGGCTTCCCTATTGCAAAACCAACATCATTGCCCACACCTACTGTGAATTTATGGCCCTGATCAAACTGGCCTGTGCTAATACCAGGGTCCACAGATTATATGGCTTAATTCTTGCCTTCCTTACTGGTGGGCTGGACTTCATAATGATAATCTGCTCTTACATTCTCATTTTTCATGCTGTGTTTCGTCTCCCATCAAAGGAGGCCAGACTCAAGACCTTGAGCACATGTGGCTCACATGTTTGGGTCATCTTAGTGTTTTATATACCTGCCTTTTTCTCCTTTATCACCCACAGATTTGGTCATAACATAGCTCCACACATCCACATCCTTATAGCCAACATTTATCTTCTGATTCCTCCTATGATGAACCCTATCATCTATGGTGTTAAAACCAAAATTATCCGGGAAAATATTCTTAAAGTACTCACAAATATGTATGTTTGAGTTTGTAAGATTTTTTTAAAATTAATCAGCAAGACAGGTGTTACCATGGAACTATAGTCTTGTTTATATTCAAGTAAATCTATATTATCTGAGAAGACAGAAACTTTCCAGGTAAAAATTGTGTCATATTTATTTTAAAGAGTATGGTTAATATATGAAATAAAGTAGCCCTGGCAATTGTGTGCTATTTTGTGAGAGACATGTCTATATTCAGTATAGGGTCATTTCTTAATTCATGTCTGCCCAGTACCTAGAAACCTAGAATCAAAACTAGAATATATATTAATGGCAAGTACTTGCTCAGTCTATTATTTATTAGCTAAGATATGTACGTTGACCTTGAATAAGTGGTATATAGGTGTCAGTACAAATTTATAGAGAGACAGCATTTTTTTCTTGCTTGTAACAGTTAATGATCTAGGAACTAAAAGTAGAATAATAATCATGGGCAAAGTATGTATCTGAAAATTTTAAATCTCTTTTCATTTTAAAGAAATTGGGACTATGATTGAGACTTAGATTATCAAATATTCTTTGGTATTTAAAAATACTTTAGCTTGTAACGAAGTCTTTGAGTTTTCTAAGTAATGTAGAGGTTTTATATAACTTAGTACAGTGATGGCGAACCTCTGACAGGTGAACTCATTTTTTTGGTTGATTTTTCTTTGTTAAATGGCATTTAAATATATAAAATAAATATCAAAAATATAAATCTTTGTTTTACTATGGTTGCAAATATCAAAAAATTTCTATATGTGACACGGCACCAGAGTTAAGTTAGGGTTTTTCAAAATGCTAACACGCCAAGCTCAAAAGGTTCGCCATCACTGACTTAGTATGTGCCACAGCTAGACTTTAGGAGATGTTTTGTCTTAATAATAGCATATACCTTAATAAATCTTAGTTTGGAAAAAATATAAAACAAAAGAAAAGAAAAAGAAATGGAAAGTTATAGTGGTCAGATGGAAATCTGCATAAACTTTCCCATCCAACAAGAATATTCTGCAGTAAAGTCACTTTTTTTAAAGATACTTTTTTTAAAAAAAGTATCAACTTAATACTGAATATTTAGAAATATGGTACACACAGACACCATAGTAATATAAAATTTTAAATTACTTTCTTATGAACTCTTAACATGGATGGCTGACAGTTTCCCATAGATAAAATTTTGGACAAAAGTACCAGACATTTTAAATACCATTTAGTCATTCAGACAAGTTTTTTAAAAATAAATATGACAAATACATGGATTTCTGAAGTATAAATTGACATACAAATCTGTATATTTTTATAATGCTTTTCATTGAAATATCTTTAAGGAGCATTCTGTAACATGAAGTTGAAAGCTCAAATTAGATATAACGAAAGCTATGGTTTTATTAAAATTGTGTAATTCACATACCAAATATTTACATAAAAGTAAACATAAAACCACAAACATGTTTTTGTTCTCCAAGTGTAAAATTACTACTGAAATAACTGTAAGACAAAGTTCCCAATTCAGAATGCTCATAAGGAAACACATATAGGAACAATATCTGAAAAGCTTTATTCTCCCTTCTGAGAAGCAGTAGAGTGACAAACTGCCCCTTGGGGATTGTCAAAGCTCTCCTAGACCTCCAGGGGAGTAGATTCTTTTGTAAAATAGGAGAACTACATCCTTCACCAGAACACAAACCTATTATAAGTTTTCTTTTCCAAACTTTGTAAGAACAACTAGGATTACTTTTGCAGATAAATGCAGCATGTTTTTTTTTTTTCAGTTATATTAAGAAATAATCCACATACATCACTGTGTAAGTTAAGGTGTACAGCATGATAGTTTGATTTACATGATTGTGAAACGATCACCACAAAAGGTTTAGTTAGTCTCTATAGATAATAATAAAAAATAAAAGTAATTTCTTCTTGTGATGAGAAATAATTTATTTTTATGATCTACTCTTGTAACAGCTTTCAAATATACCATGTAGCAATGTTAACTATAGTCTTCATGTTGTACATTATATCCCTAGAACTTATTTATCTTATAACCGCCTCCTCCAATTCGCTCCCCACCTCCTGCAGCATCTGTTATTAACTTGACTTTATATGATATAGAGCATCTCAATTTATTCATAATGACAGTGACTATAAATTTTCTCTGATTATGCTGTTGAATTTTTATTTTGTTTTTGTAAAATTTGAACAGCACTGAAAAGGTAAAGGAAAAAAATTTTTAATATAAATTGAATATACTTACCAAAATCACAGTGGGAATTTTGTAGTCTTCTTTTCATGAAACTATGGTTTGAGTATATATGAATTATATAATTTTCCATAATGTGGACAGTTCATATTTACTTTTTGACACTAGGTTCTTACCTAACTTTTACTTGCTTCTTCCATTCCTTATATACTATCAAAGACCTCTCTCAGGTTCACCAGTGTGACCAAGTTGTCTATCTTTTTATACTTTTCATCCTTCCTTTACTTGTATTTGAAAGAAAATCTTAGGATCAGGCAAATGTAAGTGGTTTTGAAATTTTTAGAAACTGAAATATATATTTAAATGAACTTATGTATTCTACACTTAAATTTTACTTTATAATTTTGAAAATGTTAAGGGTAACTCCAACATCCAATCTTTATTCACTTTCAAAAACTATTACATGATATAGATATATTAAAACTTATTCAACATATTCTCTTTTACTAAACATTCCATTCATTCTGTAAAATGTTTAATTATCTATGTAAGTATGTGTATATCTATGTATGCACTTACTTACAAAAACTTTATTTTTTTGAACAGTTTTAGGCTCATAGTAAAGTTGAGAAGAAGATACAGAGTTCCTGTATACTCTCTGACCCCACATACACAGCCTCCCCTGCTATCAACATCCCACATGAAAATGGAAGATGACACATTTGTTACAATCAATTAATCTATGTTGGTACATCAATATCACTCAAAGTCCATAGTTTACTTAGGGTTAATTCTTGGTATTGTACATTCTGTGGGTTTTGACAAATATATCATAACATATTATAGTGTCATACAGAAGAGGTTCATTGCAGTAAAAATCTTCTGTGCTACATCTATTCATTATTTCTTCCCCCCAGTCCCTGAAACCACTGATTTCTTTTTCTGTCTCTATAGTTTTGGCTTTTCTGGAATGTCACTAAGTTGGAAAACAAACAGTATGTAGTCTTTTCAGATTGACTTCTTTTATTTAATAACATGCATTTAAGATTCCTTTATATCTTTTCATTACTTGATAGCACATTTATTTTTAGGGCTGAATAATATTTTATTATCTGGCTATACTGCAGTACATCCAAGGACACCTTGGTTGCTTTCAAGTTTTGGTAATTACGAATAAAGCTGCTATAAACATTCATGTGCAGATTTTCATGTGGGCACTAGTTTTTAACACCTTTGGGTATCAAGGAGTGTGATTGCTGGGTTGTATAGTAAGAGTTTGTTTAGTTTTGTAAGAAACTGCCAAACTGTCCTTCAAAGTAGCTGTATGATTCTGCATTCCCACAAGCAATGAATGAGATTTCCTGTTGTTCCACATCCTCGTCCGTATTTGGTGTTGACATTGTCTTGGATAATCCTGATAGAGGTGTTGTGGTATCTCACTGTTGTTTTAATTTGCAATTCTCTAATAAAATATGGTACTGAGCATATTTTCACATGTTATTTGCCATCTGTATGTCTTCTTTGGTGAGTTGCTTGTTTAGATCGTTTGCTTGTTAAATTGGGTTCTTTATTTTGTTGTATTTAAAAGATTTTTATATTTTTATGAGTTGTTTATCAGATATGTCCTTGTAAATATTTTCTCCCAGAGTGTGACTAATTGTCATATCCTTTCAATAGTTTCTTGCACAAAGCAGATGTTAATGAAGTCCAACTTATCATTATTTTTTTCTCATGTAATGTATTTGGTGTTGTATTAAAAAAATCATTGCCACCCTGACTGAGTGGCTCAGTTGGTTAGAGTATCCTCTGGATAAGCCAAGGTTTCAGGTTCGATCCCCAGTCAGGGCACATAAGGAAACAACCCATGCATGAATAAAATAAGTGGAGCAATAAATTACTCTTTCTCTCTCCCTCTCTCATTATCTCCATTCCTCTCTCTCTCTTAAATAAATAAATAAATAAAAATCATTGCTAATCCCAAGTTCATCTACTTTTTCTCCTATGTTGTATCTTTGTTTTTTAGTTTTGAATTTTACATGTAAGTGTATGATCCAGTTTCACTGAATTTTTGTGAAGTAGAAGAAAGTGCTGAGTTGGGCCTTGATGCTAAACCAAAATTAATTTGGGTAAGTCTGAGCTTAGGCCACTGGCTTCAAAGCCACCAAAGGGAACAATTATTCATGGGCAGCAGAAAGCACCTATAAGACCTCTGGTCACCAGAGGGTAAGAGATGCAGGAGGAGAGTAAAACCAAGAAACTACAGAAATCAAGGGTTATGGTATGAAAGAATTATCTCCTTTCATGGACCATTATCATTGTTTCTCAAAGACCCTTAACTAAAATGGATTATAACAGTAACCAAATTGGGGGCTGTTTTCCAAAGCATTTAACATAGACTCAAGTACATATTAGGCATTAAATAAATATTTACTGAACATCAAATTTTTATAATCACACACATACACAAATACATATAGGTGTGTATATCTATTTTGTGTATAATATATAATATCACCATGCTTTGTATAGGTGCAATAATTTTTATGAGTATGTATGTGTGTATATTTATATATTTATATGCATATATGTGTGAATGAATGTGTTTATATATGTGTATAGAACTACATATATCTGAATACACATGATTATTTTATACACAGAAAGAGAGAGAGAACCATGCATGTTAAGTCTGACAGTATCACAGGAATCTAGTTTACTACTTTCTTTCTGAGCTGCCTTCTTTGCTAAGTCCCCTATATGACTACAACCTTCATTTTAACTGAACTAGATTTAATTGAACTAATTTTAA